TAATACCCATTCTCCTCCAATTATTTCAAAAAATTCAAGAAGAAGGAAGATTTCCAAACTCATTTTATGAGGCCAGCATAATTCTAATTCCCAAACCAGAAAAAGAAACTATAAAGAAAGAAAACTACAGACCAATATCCCTGATGAACATAGATGCCAAAATCCTGAACAAAATACTAGCAAATTGAATCCATCAATACATCAAAAAACTTATTCACCATGACCAAGTGGGATTCCTCCCAGGGATGCAAGGCTGGTACAATATTCTCAAATCAATAAATGTGATACACCACATAAACAAAATGAAGAAGAAAACCCACATGATCATATCAATGGACACTAAAAAAACATTTGACAAAATCCAGCACCCATTTCTGATGAAAATGCTCAGCAATCTGGGAATAGAGGGATCATATTTCGACATAATAAAGGCCATATATGAAAGACCTACAGCCAACATCATACTCAATGGGCAAAAACTAAAAGCATTTTCCTTATCCACTGGAAGAAGACAAGGATGCCCACTTTTGCCACTCTTATTTAACATAGTACTGGAATTCTTAGCCACAGCAATCAGACAGGAAGAAAAAATAAAAGGGATCCAAATTGGAAAGGAGGAAGTGACACTGTCATTATTTGCAGATGACACAATACTATACATAGAAAACCCAAAGACTCCATCAAAAATTTATTGGACTTAATAAATGAATTTGGTAAAGTAGAAAGATACAAAATTAACATCAATAATTAGATGGCATTCGCCCTGGCTGATTTGGCTCAGCGGTTGGAGCATTGGCCTGTGGTCCAGAGATACCCGGGTTCGGTTACTGCTAAGGACGCGTACCTTGGTTGCAGTTTGTCCCTGGCCCTGGTTGGTCGTGTGGTTGGCAGCCACTTGATGTGTCCCTTTCACATTGATGTTTCTCTCTCTCTCTTCCTCTCTTTCCTTCCCACTCTACCTGAACAAAAAATGGAAAAATGTTCTCGGGTGAGGATTAAAAAAAAAAAAAAAAAGAATTAGATGGCATTCTTATACACTAATGATGAACTCACAGAAAGAGAAACTAAAAAAAATTTCCATTTATCATCGCAGCAAAAAAATTAAAATACCTAGGAATAAACTTAACCAAAGAAATAAAGGACCTATTTGCAGAAAACTACAGGTCATTGAAAAAAGAAATAGAGGAAGATAAAAAAGTGGAAGCACATACCTTGTTTATAGATTCGAAGAATTAACATCATTACAATGTTTATACTACCCAAAGCAATTTATAGATTCAATGCAATCCCCATCTAAATACCAACGACATACTTCACAGAACTAGAACAAATAATTTAAAAGTTCACATGGAACCAAAAAAGACCCCAAATAACCACAGCAATCTTGAAAACGAAGAACAAAGTTGGAGGGATCACATTACCAGATTTCAGGTTATACTACAAAGCCACTGTAATCAAAACAGCCTGGTACTGGCACAAGAACAGGCAGATAGATCAATGGAACAGAATGGAGAACCCAGAAATGGACGCAAGACAATGTGCTTAATTAATATTTGACAAAGGTTGCAAGAGCATACAGTGGAGTAAGGACAGCCTCTTTAATAAATGGTGTTGGGAAAACTGGACAGCTACATGCAAAAAAATGAAACTAGACCATCAACTTGTACCATATACAAAAATAAACTCAAAATGGATAAAAGACTTAAATGTGACTCATGAATCCATAAAAACTCTAGAAGAAAATGTAGGCAACAAAATCTCAGACATCATACACAGCAGAATTTTTACTGATACATCATCTAAGGCAACAGAAACAAAGGAGAAAATGAACACATGGGACTACATCAAACTCAAAAGCTTCTGCACAGCAAAAGAAACAACCACCAATGCAGCCGCTATGGAAAACAATATGGTGCTACCTCAAAAAATTAAAAATTGAACTTGCATTTGACCCAGTGATCCCACTGCTGGGAATATACCCTAAGAAGCCTGAAACACCAATCAGGAAGAATATATGTACCCCCATGTTCATAGCAGCACTATTTACAATAGCTAAGATCTGGAAACAGCCCAAGTGTTCACCAGTAGACGAATGGATAAAAAAGCTGTGGTACATGTACACAATGGAGTACTATGCAGCGGTAAGAAAGAAAGATCTCTTATCCTTTGAGACAACATGGAGGGACCTGGCAAGTATTATCCTAAGTGAAAGAAGCCAAGCAGAAAAAGACAAATACCACATGATCTCACTTATATACGGAATATAATGAACATAACAGTCTGAGGAATACAGTAGACCCAGACACATGGAAGTAGGGCACAGACTGACATCCCTCAGAAGAGGGGATGGGGGGTGGGGGGGTGGGAAGAGATAAACCACAGAACTTATATGCATGTATGCATGACCAATGGACATGGACAACTAAGCCGGGGATGGGGTGGAGGTGGGGTGGGGTGGGGGGTGCCAGTGGGGTAAAAAGGTAAAATATCTGTAACAAAAAAATAAATAAAAATTCATAAAAAATAAAATTAAATAAAATAAAAATTAAAAAAAAAAAAAAAAGAAACAACCACCAAAATGGAAAGGCAACCCCCTGTATGGGAGAGCATAATTGCCAATGATATATCAGATAAAGGGTTAATTTCTAAAATATATATAGTGCTCATACAGCTCAACAAAAGGAAGACAAAGAACCCAATTAAAAAATGGGCAGAGGAACTAAATAGACACCTCTCCAAATGGGACATACAAATGACTAAGAGACATATGAAGAAATGCTCAACATCACTAATCATCAGAGAGATGCAAATTAAAACAACAATGAGGTGTCACCTCACACCTGTCAGAATGACTGCCATCAACAAATCATTAAACAACAAGTGTTGGTGAGGGTGTGGAGAAAAGGGGACTCTAGTACACTGCTGGTGGGAATGCAGACTGGTGCAGCCACTATGAAAAACAATATGGTGTTACTTCAAAAAATTAAAAATTGAATTGCCATTTTACCCAGTGATCCTACTTCTAGGACTGTACCCTAAGAAGCCTAAAACACCAATTAGAAAGAATATATGTACCCCCATGTTCATAGCAGCACTATTTACAATAGCTAAGATCTGGAAACAGCCCAAATGTCTATCAGTAGACGAATGGATAAAAAAGCAGTGGTACATATACACAATGGAGTACTATGCAGCTGTAAGAAAGAAAGATCTCTTATCCTTTGAGACAACATGGAGGGACCTGGAAAATATTATCCTAAGTGAAACAAGCCAAACAGAGAAAGACAAGTATCATATGATTTCACTTATTTGTGGAATATAATGAACATAACAGTCTGAGGAATGGGGTAGTCCCAGAGACGTGGAAGTAGGGTACAGACTGACAATCCCCTGAAGAGGGGGTGAGGGGGAGAGATAAACCACAGAATTTATATGCATGTATGCATGAACAATGGACATGAACAACAAAACTGGGGACAGGGCAGGGAGGGAGGGGGAGAGGTGGGTGAGTGGGGGGAAAAGGAGAAACATCTGTAACAAAAATAAAGAAATTAATTAAATAATAATAATAATAATTTTTTCCTCACTGAGTGTGTTATTGATGGTCAATCAACTCACCATCCCTAATCGAACTGAATTCGTGAAACTAGTGGATCTCCCTTCAACTCTTACATGAATCTCACCTGAGTCTTATGTGAACAGAAGCAATGGTGACCTGGTTTTGTAAGTAAACACCATACACCTTCCTGTGATCAGGCAGACATGACTAAAATGAAAATACCCACCAAGCTTTGTTGGGTAGAACAGAGTTTGCAAAGGTTTCCTATAAAGGGTCAAATGGTCAATGTCATAGCCTTTGCAGGCCGTGTGGTCTCTGCCACAGTTACTTGGAGCGTGAAAGCAGATAATATATATGTGAGCATGGCTGTATTTCAATAAAACTTTATTTATGGACAATGAAATTTTAATTTCATGTAATTTTCATGTGTCATGAAATATTATTCTTCTTTAGAATTTTTCAACCATTTAAAAATGTAAAAACTAGCCCGGCCAGTTGGCTCAGTGGATTGAGTGTCGTTCCATGGACTGAGAGGTCTGGGTTTGATTTCGGGTCAGGGCACATGCCCTGTTGGGGGGCATGTAGGAGGCACCCAATTGATGTTTTTCTCTTACATTGATGTTTCTATCTCTCTTTCCCTTCGTCTCTCTCTAAAAAAAATCAATAAAGACATATTTAAAAAAATTTAAAAATGTAAAAACTATTTTTAGCTTGCAAGCCATACAAAAACAGGCAGTAGACTGGATTTGGCTCATGGGCCATAGTTGGCTGACCCCTTCCTGGAATAATAGAATCACTGAACATCTGGGTTGAAAGGGGCTTTGAAGTCTGTCCGATTATCTCAGCACTCTGCAAATGCAAGAACGAAGGCCCAGTGGCTGGGCTTTAAAGTCCACAAAAAACAAATAGCTGTTTCCAATATTGATGAAAATTCCACGGAGCCCAAGAAATACAGGCTAGAGCAAGGACAATGGTACCTAGAGTACAGGTGAGGTATTTTTAAAGACAAATAATTTTTAAAAATCAGATTTGCTGACACTTAATGTACCATCCGAGACACATTTCCTGTCATTCCCCCAACAATTTCTTACAGCATGTGTCCCTCCGTCAGAATAACTTCTCCATGCTTCCTTAACACACATCTTTGCTTTTACAGATGCTGTCCTCTCTGCTTGGAATGTCCCTCCTGTGAACTCCTATTCATCCTTCAAAACCCCAGGTAAACATCTGTCCTCCAATTCTTCCCCGACTTTCCCTCCCCTTTTCTGTGCTCTGTGGTTCTTCTCAGAAGATGAACAGTATTCGTCTATGGGCTGCCTGCTGCTAGACTGAGAGCTTCCTGAGGGCAGACCGTGTCTTGTTCACCTGTGCCTCCCATGCCACCAGGCTATCGCCTGAGCTGGAGCTGGGCTCAGATAGGCAGGGTGGGGCAGCAGCTCACCTGAATCTGCCATGGGTGTTCTCAGGAACAATCACCTCTTCGCAGATCTTCTCCAGAGCAGGCATCCAGCTCGTGGCCAGATGGCAGTTCTGTAAGACCACCCAGGTGCCGTCTCTGATGGCAGTGTGGATCATTTTGGCCGCGATAGGGCCTTGGCCTTGGCCCAGGGATATGATCTGTGTCTTGGTACCTCCCATGTTAAGATCTTCAGCAAACTTCAGCAGGCCTGAATGCAGGAAGAACAGGGGCTTTCATAAGAGAACAAGCCAGCTAAGGCCATATTAATAGTAATATCACAGAAAGAGGGGTCACGTTAAAATTCTGGGCTCTGAAAGAAACTGGCTGGCTTCTGTGAATTACAAATAAGCATGTCTCTGGGGAGGTTTCAGACTTCTGGTTAGATGAAGAACCTTAAAGATACCATTGATTTCTTTTTTGCTCTGAATACACAGACATTCTTGACTTTACATAATTACAGAAACTGAAAAAAAAAATCAGAGTTTGAAAGAAAGAGAAATTCCCTGGTGCCAAAAATAAAGAGGGAACTCAAAACTAGAGAGGTGAGCACATCACCAGAGAACTAGGAACTGGGATTTTAGAAATTTATTTTACTAAGAAAAACATGTTTGTACAGTGAAATTTTAGGAAATCCTTTCACTTCTCTCTCCCTCGGGGCAGCAATGATACCAGGTTTTGTGAATCCCACCAGAGATATTTTATGCATTTAATTCATGCATATATACTATTATATTTACATGAATTGTACAATGTTGCATTTGCTTTTTCACCTGGGATTTTTCCACGTCACTACATTTGTAAAGGCCTTATTCTTGTTTATGGTTACATAGTATTTACCATTGGAAAATACCATACTTTATTTAACTGATTTAGAGGTTGGCATTTGTCCATGGGACATGGGCATAACTTTGCACTCAAAAGAGGTGGGGTGCTGGAACTGGGACTTTTCTTCCTAATGAAGTTAGGATCCTCAAAGGGCTGCACCTTTGTGCAGAGAAGGCCAGAGATCTGGTCGCTGACTCAAGAAGCAATGTGGAAGCTTGTCACTGGTCTGTAGCTTGGATGGAAAAGAAGACAAAACTCTCCAGTGAGAAATCAAAACACCAGCCTATGGCGAAGGCCAGGAGGGGTATGACCTTACAGTGTACCCTGTAGAGTGGGATTCTAAGCTGAGAAATTTCCCCGAACTTGAAACCCCTGGGGCACTACTGTTTGCGTATGTAAAATTGTTCTGTTAGGGCACTCCTAAAACCCAAGGTATACGAGACTCCCACAAAACAACGCAAGCTTGCTAATCGTGAACTCACAATAAAACATTACCAACTACATGAAAAAATACACCACTATCAGAGACAGGCAGCATATGACAAATGGGAAAATCAACACCCCAAGAATGGGAGAATTGACTCCCCAAGAATTACATGTGAACTCTGTGGTGGCCGAAACTCTGTCCCCTCCAGATACATAGCTTGAAGTCCTAATTCCCAGAACCTCAGAATGTGACTGTATTTGGAGATAGGGTCTTTAAAGAGGTAGTGAAATTAAAATGAGGTCATTAGGGTATGTCCTAATCCAATATGACTGTGTCCTTACATGAAGAAGAGATTGGGACACTCATAGAGAGAAGACCATGTGAAAACACAGGGAGCAGATGGCCATGAACAAGCCAATGAGAGAGGCCTCAAGAGAAACCAACCTGCTGACACCTTGACTTTGCACTTGTGTTCTCCAGAACTAGGAGAAAGACTTCTGTTGTTGAAGTCACAGTCTTTGGTATCTGTTGCGGCAGCCTCAGCAGATTAATATAACCTCTGAGAAAGACCACGAGGAAAGCACATTTGAAAATCATTAAAGAAGGAACACAAAGCTAATAAAATTCAGAGTTCTATGAAAACATGGATTTGGAACAAAATAAACACAGCTCTGAGAAATGGAAAGCATTGTTACTGAAGACAAAATCTCAAAGCATGGATGATTAAAAGAACAGGTCAGATACAAAGGGAGAATCAGTGAACCAGAGAGTCTGCCAGGAATGACCCACCAGTAGTAACGGTGCCCAGCACCCTGGTGTGGTCTCCAGACACCGGGAGCTGCTGAGAGGACTGGCTGCTGGGAGGAGTGTTTGCACAGACGATCCTGGAATATGTGGAATCTACAGCGAGGAAGCATCAGACACCGCTGGTCATATGGAAAGGATACAGCTGTGAAGGCACCCATGGGCCAGGGACTGAACAATTTGAGCATCAAAAAGGCCAGCAAATACCACATTTGGAACATCCAGTATGTTCAAATCCATGTGTTCACAATGGTACCAAGAAAATGTCACTGCTTGAGTAAATTTGGAGGTTCCTAGGACACCAATTCATTATTCTGAAAGCTGGTAAATAAAGAGGATGAACTAAGCATTTTTTTTCTGTCTGTCCTTTTCAATCTATATTCAGAGTAAACCAGAGTTGACAAAAGAAAAACTCTTTATTAAAAGAATTCCAGCTAATAAATGTGGAAGGAATGACAGAATTAAAATATCATCATTTTGCCCTAGCCTATGTGGCTCAGTGGTTGGAGCACCAGCCCACGCACCTAAGGGTTGCAGGTTCTATTCCCCGTCAAGGGCACATACCTGGGTTGCAGGTTTGATCCCTGGCCCCAGTCCAGGTGCATGCAGGAGGCAACCAATCAATGTGTATGTTTCACATTGATGTTTCACCCTCCCTCCCTCCCTCCCTCCCTCCCTCCCTCCCTCCCTCTCTCTAAAAAAATCAATGGAAAAAAGATGCTAGGGTAAAGATTAACAACAACAACAAAAAAGTAAAATATCATCATTTTAAAACCCCTAACAAAATCATGGATCTGGGCAAAGATTTTTTAAGGCTGCTAAAACCATTAGGTCAGTGGTTCCAGTGTTGTCTGCACATTGGAATCACCCAACAAGCTTTATAAAACACAATGCCTGGGTCTCACTCACAAAAATTTCAATTTAATTGGTTGAGGGTGTGGCCAGGGCATGGAGATTTTTCTTAAAGCTCCCCAGGTGATCCCCTTTTGCAGCCAGGATTGAGAACTGTCATGTTAGGTGATAGGATGATGGGAAATGTTATAAGGGAGGTGGTGGAGGAGTGGGGAGGGGGGTCAGGGGGACAATGCTTAATCAGGAGATAAGGACAGCCAGACGGAATGTGCCTCCTGACCTGTGAAGTTCCCTGAGAAGTTATCCATGCTGAATCTGATCAAGCCTGAGGCCAGGGGAGCTTTGTACACCGTCGGAGTAAGCGGCCCATCCTCTGCCCACATGCCCTCATTTCACAGACCACATTCTGATCCTTCCCCATTTCTGTTCTTGACCTTTCCTGGTTTCTGCTAGGTTCACTTGCTTAAAGCTGCCACATAAGGACATAGAGAAAAAAAGTAAAGGTGTGAGGTAGGGGTCATAAGTTGACATTTGACAGTAATGTTTGAACCTGGACAAGGGACCAATCCATATGAGCTGCCTCCTCTGACTTTCCAGGGTGCTGGCTTTCCATCTGGGTCCAACTCCTCAGCACTCACAGAACACCTCCACCTTGTCATGGGCATTTCTGGCACTGTCTTCATTCAGCAACAGAGAAAACGAAAGCTTTGCAACCGCCAACAGAACAGAACACTAATCTCTTCCTGTCAACAACTCACACCCCTTTAAAAAGCACAAACGACTGCTGGAAAGAGACACAAGCTGGTAATGGTTGCTTCCAGGAGAGTTAGGAGTAGATGCACCTTTCACCCTATGTAAGAGTTTCCCAACCTCAGCACTACCAACATCTTGGGCAGATAACCACCTATGGTGGGGTGTCTGGGGTGTTCAGCAGCATCCTCGGCCTCTATCTACTAGATGCCAGTAGCACTCCCCAGAAGACAACAAAAATGTGTTCCCACTTTGTCAAATGTCCCTTGAGGGGGCAAAATGGCCCTGGTGGAGCCATAGTCCAATGCCTTTTGGCATTGTTTGATTTTTTTTTTTATCATCACTCACAGTGTTAATTATTCAAAAAAATTCAAAAATTAAAAGAAGAGAGAAAAGCCGAGCTGATGGAAGCGATAGCAAAGACGATTTAAGACAAAGGCAACAAATTGGCTGCCAGGCTACATCTAGTCCCAGCATGGCCTCCCAACATTTTAAAGGAAAAATCTGAATGAGTTACCAATCTGTAAAAATGGGTGATCTCTGCATTTCTTGTTTCTCTTGAAAAATCAGACGATCTGGCTCACATGTCAGATGGTGAAATGCGTGGGTACTGAGAAGCAGCTGGCCCTGTTAGGTGGCAAAAGACTGCAGTCGCTCAGCTTTATCTTGGCCTTCAAAGCCATCTGAGTTCGAGACTCCTGATGTAAGGGACATGCTATTGTCATCCATCCACATTCTGGGCTCTTTATGTCCTTCACACAACAGCCTACCTTACCTGCCATTGGGTCTGCGCCAGGAGACAGCACAAAAATCAGCGGTGTACAGCAGTTGGAGTCATTGTAGGACCCCTGGAGGTCAAATGTAGGGGCTTCGGTGTATATGTTGCCCATGTGCTCAGCAATGAACTCCCGAACGGCTGGAATGATCTTGTCGGGCCGCAGGCATCGGAGGATCACCATCCTCTCCAACCCTTGAAGGAACCTCCAAGTCCCAGGGAGCTTCTCTTCATGGGGCCAGGCTGAGTCATAGATGAACTTCCATTCATTAGCATTGTGTTGTAGATGTTCCATCAGGCCTTTCAGTTTGGGCAACGAAGATGCACGAACCACTTCTGCCCACGCCTTCTCAGACAGCCATTCGGACACTGGGTTGGGGAAGGGGTTGTCCAGGGCAATGCCTCCAGTTAGAAGAAAGTACCACACTTCCTCGTTAATTTGCTTTTTCTCTTTCAAGATGCCAATGGTCAAGAGGAGGGAGAAAAGCAGCTTATCCTTCTCAAACAGAGAGCGGCAGACGTTGTTGTAGATGCTGAGGGTGAAATACTCGATGATGTACTCAATGCGCTGCTCCAGCTCTTCGCTCTTCCGGCTGTGGGCCAGGGAGTGCACGTAGAGGCTGATGAACCACGACAGGGAGTACTGGTACATCGGCTCGATGTTGGCCAGGTCCGAGATGCAAAAGAAGATGGTGGCAGAGTGGACAGCCACTGGCTTGTAGCCCATCCGAGTCTCATCAATCTGAGTTTCCGTCATCGAAGCAATTTTCTGTTTCTCGGAGATTTCTTCAGACAGCTCTTTGGAGGAGGACAAAATTTTGATGGCAGTCTCATCTTCAAGGATGTTGCCCTCCGACAAGGAGAGGACCTCTAAGATCTTATCCTCAATTTCTTTTAGCTGCTTCTTGTTCTTGGCACTTTCCACAATCAACTGGTTCTTTTTGTCCTCCAGTTCTGGCTTCTCCTTGGCAGCCATGATGCCAAGGAGCTGATCTTGGAGACCCAAGGGTGTGATCATGAAGTTGAGGAGACAGACTTTCACGGCAACCTCAGGGAGGTAATGTGGGTTCCTCAAACGGGTTGTGATATATAACTTAAAATCCTTGGAGTATTCGATGATATTTTCACCCAGCCTCATGTACTCAACCCCTTGCTGCTTGAATGTGGACTTAAGCAAGATGGGTTCAATGAAGGCATCCAGCTCTTCTCCGACATTTTCCAGTAAGACAGGGGTGCCAAACTGCAGAGCGTTTTCCAGCGTCCTCACATAGCCAGCATCCGAGAACTTGGTGACAGACAGCTTATTCACTTTCTCCATGTTCTTGACCCACTTATTGGCCTGCCCCTGAGGGTCAATCATCAAGGCCCAGCGTCTGGAATTGGACACAATAATGCCATTGTCAATGGAGAAGGAATCAACTGGCAGCCCAGCGATCTGCCAGGCACGAATTTTTATGGGATCTCCTAATGTGTTGCTGAGACTGAAGTCATTGGAGCCAGGGATGACCTTGTTTTTACATTGGGCCAACCACTGCTTTTGGCACTTGGCCCGATAATCCACGGTAAAGGCCCCCAGGTAAGCCACAGTCCCCGAGGACACCAATACATCCCCTGTCAGATTAATATAGCGGATACCCAGCTGCCGGGCAGCTTCTGTCCATCGGTCCTTCTCTCCCCCAAGACCGCTGATCAGCTTTTCTGCCCTGACCAGCTTTTGGGAACAGATTTCGATATTTTCTTCCAAAGTTATTTTCTTGGTGTTCATCTTTTCAAAGTCATCATTCAGGTCCTGGAGGTGGTCTTCCACCAGCTTCAGCTCTGCTCGCTTCTGGTTCAGCTTCTGCATCTGTGTGTCCAGCTTCGCCTCGGCCTCCTTCAGCCGCTCTCGCTTGGGAGCAACCACCTTAGCCACGCGGTCATACACCTCCATGGCCCTCACCCACTTGCACAGACCTTCGCAGGCAGATGACACATTTTTAATGATGGACGGTTGGAAATCTGGGTGGTCGATAAACCTTTCTCGGATTCGTTTCATAATCACTGGGGGGATGTTGTCTTTGTCATATGCCTTAAGGCTCTCCAGGAATTTCAGATCTCCAAGAATCTTCCTTGATACCCCCCAGTAATCTTCTATCATTTTACCTGTTTGGGATGAGCAACAGAGGTAAGACTATTATTAAGACGTTCTGGCTGAGACTTAAAGCTTTTCAGTGACTACTCTTCAGATCTGGCAAAAAAAATTAAAGTCCTGCAGAAGACATTAAGGGTAGAGAAAATACTCTGTATGATTCTGTAATAATTGACCTGTTATTATATATTCGACCAAACTCATAGAACGAACACCACCAAGAGCTGATGACTGTGTAAACTATGGACTGTAGGTGGTTATGATGTGTTAGTGTAGGTTCATCGGTTGTAACAAATGTCCCGCTCTGTAGGGGGCTATCGATCCTGGGGGAGGCTGTGCCTGTGTGGAGCCAGGGAAATATGGGCGATCTCTTTGGTGTGAACTTAAAGCTACTTTAAAAATATAAAATCTAAATAAAAAAAGAAAAGTCTAAGCTCTTCACTGTGGTTTGGAAGGCCCATCTACCTCACCACATCTCTGCCTTGCTCCTTGGACTTCAGTCACGAAGGACCTTCCTTCATCTCCTCGGTCACTCTGTGTGCTTCCCTACCCTGGGCTGGAAATGGCCTCTGCCTGGCTCCTGATCGGATGGATTCAGGTTCATTTCTAAAGCCACCTTTCACTAGGCCACAGAGAGGTCTCCCGAGACGACCCTTACTAAAGCGGCCCCTCTCTCCCTCCCCCCGCATTCCCTCTCATCTCAGCTGCTGGAATGCCCATTATTTTTAAAGCATTTATGGCAATCTGTGATTTTTTTTTTTGCTTACTTTTTATCGTCGGGCTCTCCCTCCACGTTGTGAGCTCCGGCTGTGTTTACTGTGGTCTGGCACCGTGCCTGAGACTCCGTCACAGTAAGTGGGTATTGAGTGAATGTTGCCCCTTATCCCAGTCAATAGGTGGAGAGGGCAAAGGAGCCAGGGACATGTGTTTTGAATATTCTTTTTCAAGTCTGGGAGGTGAATTGAATGGAACTCAATGAGTCCTCTGTGTGAGTGGGTTGGGGAGGCCCGAGAGAAATCAAGGGTGGGGAAGGAAGGCCATCTTGCCACTGGACCGAAGGCCATCTGTGACCTGCCCAGATGTGAAGCAGGGCCCTATTCTCCTTAGCACCTGTCGTCAAGCTGACTAAGGACTGAGTGAGCCCCAACCGCATCTCAAGGCTCCTTCACTGACATGTTGAAAAGGTTGGAGGCCTTTTGGCACATGGCACTTGAGCCCTACTTGCCAAGCTCCAGCTCATGAAAAAAGCTGTACTTGAGCCCTGGCTGAGTGGCTCAGTAGGTTGGAGCATCATCCCATATACTGAGAGGCTGCAGGTTTGATCCCTCTTTGGGGTGCATAGGGGACCCATGTTTCTCTCTCTTGCTCTCTCTCAAATCAGTAAAAATATCCTCAAGTGAGTATTAAAAAAATAAAAAGTTGTACTTGAGACATCGTATTAATGACAACAGGTCACATGTGTCCTCTTCCTAATGCAAGCACAGTAATAAAACAAATATTTCCCATGAAGGTTTTTGTTCACCTTCAGGAAAATGATCTGCTCCTTTTAATTCAAGATGCCCCAAACTAACTCAATTGCTCTTTGCTCCATTCCAGTGTACCGGCTGAATTCTGTGGGTTAAGTGAATAGTATACACAATGTGCTTCACTCTTGATACAGAGAGGTGAACAATGGGTCCTGTGTGGATTGTCAGTGATCCAAGAACAGAGCTGACTTTTGGCATCTGGCTATGTTTTTTTTTATTATGCTCACCCGAGGACATTTTTTCCATTTTTTGTTCAGATAGAGTGGGAGGGAGAGAGAGGAAGAGAGAGAGAGAGAGAGAGAGAAACATCGATGTGGAAGGGACACATTGAGTGGCTGCCACCCACACAACCTAACTGGGGCTGGGGACAAACTGCAACTGAGGTACGTGCCCTTAGCGGGTACTGAACCTGGGTCTCTCTGGACCACAGGCCGACACTCTAACCGCTGAGCCAAACCAGCCAGGGTGGCACCTGGCTATGTTTTGTGCACAGTTCTCAATCCTGGCTGCACCTTCAAACCACCCAGGTGTTTTAAAAAATACTAACTAGCCCTGGCCGGTTTGGTTCAGCGGTTGGAGCATTGGCCTGTAGACCAGAGTCAGGGGTTTGGTTCCCTCTAGGGGCACGTACCAAAAAAAAAAAAGAATACTAATGCTCAGGCCATGTCCTAGACATGGAATGAGGATCTCTATGGATCACTAGGAGGGAAAGGGCTGGGGGCGTGGGCTTCGGCCTCTATACTCCCAGGTGGTTCCAAGTGTGGCCAAAGTGAGCTGTGCTGGCTGGCTCACCCTTGTTCAGACCCACCAAACACAACTCAGCTGCTGCCCTAAAGGATCCCCTGTCAAGTCCACACCCTGCTTGTTCATCCCTGATCCCTTGTGCATCTTCTTCATAGAGCTTTGGTCTGGAACCAGTCGGGAGAGGGGGTGCTAAGCAACGGGAAGCAGAAACCAGAATCCTTGTTCGATTCCAAGACACCTGTCTTGATACAAGATCTTACATATAATTTGGATTTTAAGGAGATTGAATATTCACCTACTAATGCGTCTAGGCTCAATTATATATAAGGAGCTTTCCTCCTTCCCCTAGAATCCTATCTCCCCACCTCCCCTCCCAACCCGTCTCTGCCTCCCTCTGCCCCATCTCTCTGCCTTGAATTCTCCTCCAGCAGCTCATGCTCCATCCACCTCACCTTTCTTCCTCTCCCCTGTGTCTTGGTTTCCTTATCTCTGTCTCTCTTCTTCACTTGCTCCACATTTGTGTTTCTCTGTATCTGCATCTGTCCCCGTTTCTCTCTCACTCTCAGCCTTGTGTTTCTGTCTATCTGCACACCTTCCACATCTTTCTCCCTGACACTGTGTGCATCAGTCTCTCCCTCCCCATCTTCTCTCTCTGTGTTGTTCTATCTCTCTACTAATTCCTTTTCCTCCTGATCTCCTTCCATGTTCATTTTCTCTTTGTGTCTATGTGCACGTGTGAGCATGCATATGCATGTATACACAGGTGTCTATGTGCGTGCATGTACCTGTGTCTGCACACACCTATGCGTGTGCAAGCATCCACGTGCACATCTATGTGTGCACACGTGTCCATGTGTCTATGCACATGTGTGTGTCTATGTGTGTGCAGGTTTATGTCCATGTGTTTATATGCATGCATGTGTGCATATGAATGTGTGTGTATGCATGAACGTGTTTGCACACACCTCTATGTATGTATGTATCTGCGTGTGTGTGTATGCACGTGCACTTCTATGTGTGTATATGTGTTCGTATATATGTACACCTGTCTATTGTGTGCATGTATGTCCATGTGTCTATGTGCATGCATGTACTTGGTTGTTCATGTGAATGTGTGTGCACATGTTCATGTGCATGCATGTGTGAGTTATGCATCTAGGTGTCTGGCCTCCATTTCTTTCTCAGTTATTCTCTCTTGTTGCTCTGTCTCTGTCTCATTCTCTTTCTCTGGTTATCTCTCTGTATCTCTCTCTCTCTCTCTAGCTGTTTCTGTTTCTCTCTCTCTCTCTATGACTCACACACTACTCTGTGTCTTGCCCCACATCAGCCCCTTTGTCTCCATGACCTTTATTTTTATCACAATTTGCAGGCAGGATACTTGACTTAGCTTGGCTTCACCTACATAGACTGCCTTTTCCTGACTGGTTGAGAGGAGAAAGATGGTGAAGAAACACAGGAGAGCTCTTTGGAGCACACCCACATCCTGGCGCCTTTCTCACTTCCTCTCAGATTCTGCACACTGCCTGTGGGCTGGGGCAGGGTGGGGTGCTGAAGGGGGTTACCGGAGCCGCTGGGGTCTGGCTTCCTCTCTGGTCTCAGCCCTTTCATGACACAGATGCTCTCCATAACGAGCTTGACGGGGCCTGGGGGGTTCTGCATTGACTTCACCAGTGAGATGTCCGTGGGGTTCAGGGTGTCCAGTGCAGACAGCGCAGCCTCCAGTGCTGGCATGGCCTCTGCCAGGTCCCCCTCGCATTCATCCTGCGGGCAGTACAGGGACCAAAGGAATGAGCATCAGCACCTGGCACACTGGGCGGGGAGCACAGTTCTGCTTCTGGAGAAAGCTGGGGAAGTGGGCAGAGGCATGACCGCGGTGTCCATTCTCCCAGAAAGGTGCTCCACCTGAGCTCTCTGCAGGAAGGCTTGCATGGCCCGTGGGGCTGCAGCTTAGATGCCTTGGACAGTTAAGAATTTATCTGATTTGTGATCTTTTAAAAAATCAAGCCTTTGTTTTTTAAACAAATTCCCAAGAGATATACGTAGTGGGTGACTTCACACCCACCGATCAGGATGGATCAAGAGATGATAGTTGAGGCATAAGGAGTGAGTGACAGATGAGACAAGAGTTGGGCCGAATAAGATTTCATTGTGTTAGCCCTAGCCGGTTTGGCTCAGTAGTTAGACTGTCAGCTCACAGACCAAATTGTTGTGGGTTCACTTCCGGTCAAGGACCCCTACCTCAGTTGCAGTTTGATCCTCAGCTGTGGTCTGGGTCATGTGGAAGGCAACCAATTGATGTGTCTCTCTCACATCGATGTTTCTCTCTCTCCACCCTTCCTTCCTCCCTCCCTCCATCTGAAAATCAATGGAAAAATATTCTCGAATGAGGATTAAAAAAAATACTGACTCATGTAATAACACAGATAAGCCTTGAAAACATGATGCTGAGTGACAGACACAAAATCCCAGCGGCCCCATGATTCCCATGCAACATGCAGGGAGTTCCATGGAGGCAGAGAGCAGGTCAGTACAGCCAGGGGCTGGGAGCGGGAGGGTGAGGAGGGCTGCTGAAGCTTCCTTTTGGGGTGATGAACATATCCTAGAATTAAATAATGCTGATGGCTGTACAACTGAAAATATTAAATGGCATAATTTAAAAGGGTGACTCTTTTTTTAAAACTTATCTGTATTGTTGACTGTATCACAGATGTTCCTCATTTTTCCCCTATTGACCCCCTGCTCCCCACTCCTGCCCCTCTCCTGCCTTTCCGCACACTATTGTCTATGTCCATTGGTTATACATAAAAGTTCTTTGGTTTATTTTGTCCCACCCCCCAACCCCTTTCCCTTTGAGGTTTGTCAGTCTAACAACCAGCTTGGACTTCTTAATCCCTTTACCTTTTTCACCCATTCCCCCAACCTCCTCCCATCTGGCAACCAACAAAATGTTCTCTGTATCTATGAGAATGTTTCTGTTCTGCTTGTTCATTTTGTTTGTAGATTCCATTGTTGATAGATATGTATTCACTGCCATTTTGATTGTTCTTATTTTTTATCTTTTTTTTCAAGAAGACCCTTCAACATTTCATATAATAATGGTTTGGTGGTGATGAACTCCATTAGCTTTTCCTTGTCTGGGAAACTCTTTATATGGCCATTGATTCTAAATGACAGCTTTGCAGGATAGAGTAATCTTGGTTGTAGGTTCTTGCTTTTCATCACTCTGAATATTTCTTGCCTCTTCCTTCTGGCCTGCAAAATTTTTTTTGAGAAATCAGCTGTTTTATGGGAGCTCCCTTGTAGGTAACCAACTGCTTTTCTCTTGCTGCTTTTAAGATTCTTTGTCTTGAACCTTTTGCATTCTGATAATGATGTGTCTTGGTGTGGGCCTCTTGGGGTTCATCTTGTTTGGGACTCTCTGTGCTTCCTGGACTTGTATGTCTGTTTCCTTCACCAAGTTAGGGAAGTTTTCTGCCATTATTGTTTCAAATAGGTTTTCGATTTCTTGTTCTCTCTCTTCTCCTTCTGGCACCCCCAAAATGCGAATATTGGCACGCTTGAAGTTGTCCCAGAGGCTCCTTACACTATCCTCATTTTTTTGGATTCTTTTTTCTTTTTGCTGTTCTGATTGGGTGTTTTTTGTTTTCTTAGATTCCAAATCGATGGTTTGCTTCTTGGCTTTACCTACTGTACTATTGAATCTGTGTAAATTATTCTTTATTTCAGTTAGTGCCTCCTTCATTTCTGACTGTGCATCCTTCATTTCTGACTGCTCTTTTTTTTTATGCTCTTGAGGCCCTCCCTAAGTTCACTGACATTCTCATTAAGTTCATTGAGCATCCTTATAAGCAGTGTTTTGAACTCAGTATCTGTTAGGTTGCTTATTTCCATTTCGCTTAGTTCTCTTCCTGGAGTTTTGTTCTGTTCTCTCATTTGGGACCAGATTCTTTGTCTCCTCATTTTGCCTGCCTCTTTGTGTTTGTTTCTATGTATTACTTAATGAGAGGTATGGGGCTAGCTGAGACCAGATGCTGCTTGTTTGAAAGAATTTAGGAAAACCTGAAGCAGAATCCAAGACAGGCCAATTCTATAGTAAAGCAACTGGCAACAGCTTGGGTGGGCTTGAAAGTTGGATGGGGCGGGGCCTCAGGGAATCACCAGGGCAGGGAAAACAGTGTGAGCCAGGTTGCTAGAGTCCCAGATATGGTGGCTGTCTGCCTCCCCAGGGAAGGGCTCACCAAAGGAACAAAGGCCTCTGATAGCAGATCTGTCCAGGATAAAACTGCCTCTCCAGCCCTCGCTCCAATGCCAAACAGCTCAGTTCTTTCCCATATGTCTCAGGTGCCTTTCAACTGCCTCCACCATGCTGGAGCCTGGAGGGTGCGAGTCTGAGTAAGTCCATGTGTGGGCCCTTTAAGAGGAGCTGCCTGGGGCTCCAGCCGCCTCAGCCTCCCTCAGTCTCCGTTCCCGCTGGTTTTCCAGCCAGAAGTGATGGGGATTCTAATCCTGGCACTGGAACCCTGAGCTAGGGGCCTGCTGTGGGACAGGGACCCCTCACTCCTCAGGGAGGACCTTCCCAGCTGAGGTGTCCTCCTGATTTTTATCCTCCACACGTGGGTGTGGGACCAGCCCATCTGCCTTCGCCCCTCCTACCAGTCTCCATGTGGCTGCTGCTTTAATTCCGTAGTTGTAGGACTCCATTCAGCTTGATGTCAGGCAGCTTTGAATGATGGTTGTTCTGCAGTTTAGTTGTAATTTTGATGTGGTTGTGGGAGGACGCGATACCACATTTACCTACCCTCCACCTTGACCAGAAGTCCAAAAGGGTGACTCTTAATGGTATGTGAATTATATCTCAGTTAAAAAGAAAGCTTAACATTATAACTTTTAAAATAGGAAGGAACCTTATAAATTAACTAGGGGTCCAATTAGTAAATCCAAGGAAAGAAAGAAAGAAAGAAAGAAAGAAAGAAAGAAAGAAAGAAAGAAAGAAAGAAAGAAAGAAAGGAAGAAAGAAAGAGAAGACCTCAGGAAGCAAAACAAATTTAGCTCAGGCATCACAGACGGCCAGTCACAGATCCAAGCTCTGACCCTGGCCCCTGCTTCTCACGCAGTGACTTCTGTTAGCCCCCCGCCTGAGGGTGATCAGCCATGAGTGAATCGAAACTCCACAAGAGAACATCAATCCCAAGCCAAAGCAGTAAGTGTTGAAGTCTGTATCTTGTAGGCTTATTGTGATAGGTGGTCCCACTTTCGTACATGTGTGCGCACATGTATACAAGTACAGGTGTGTGTATCATAGATTCTTTACTTCAGGTGTTCTGCTCTTCTCATTAACAGATAGCAATGTTTTATTTAGCTTCATATATTCAAACAACCCCCCACCCAGAAATGAGCGGTGTCAGATGTTCCCAGTATCAGAAGGGATGACAGTAATGGCTCAGTCCCCAGGCCATACTGCAGCCATCGAATGTGTGTCAGAGTGGGAGGCAAGAGGGGGAAGTGAAACTAGTTCCTGCTGCTTCTCACGCCAGCTGCACTAAGTCTGGTGGCAGAGGACACCAGAGGCCACAGCTCTGGATTGTCAGACGACTTCCACCCCCCGGGGAGACCCGGGTTCGGTTCTCGCTGGGGGCGTGTGCCTCGGTTGCGGTTTGTCCCTGGCCCTGGTTGGGTCGTGTGGGTGGCAGCCACTCGATGTGTCCTTTTCACATCGATGTTTCTCTCTCTCTTCTTCTCTTTCCCTTTTGTTCTATCTGAACAAAATATTGAAAGTGTCCTTGGGTGAGGACAAAAAAAACAAACCCAGTGTGTACTCTCGAAACACTGAGAACAAGGCAGGAAGCTGAAGGCTTCGACGCCAGGAGGACGGTGGCTACGTGATGGGTGGAGCCCGTTAAAGTGGGCATGACAGTGATTCTGCCGTGTTGGGAAGACACCGTGACACGACGTTGAGGAGGTCACAGAACGCGGGTGCAGCTGCAGCAGAGCTGAGGCGCAGTGGCAGCAGACGCAGTCCATGTGGCACTCAGGCAGGAAGGAGACTTGGAACTAGAGAAGGTGTTAGAGTTGACGTCTTAAAATTCTTCGTGTGAGCCCTGGCCAGTTTGGCTCAGTGGTTAGAGCCTGCGGTTTGGAGAGACCCGGGTTCGGTTCCCGCTAAGGGCACGTACCTCGGTTGCAGTTTGTCCCCGGCCCTGATTGGGTCGTGTGGGTGGCAGCCACTCCATGTGTACCTTTCACGTCGATGTTTCTCTCTCTCTCTCTCCTACTCTATCTGAACAAAATATCAAAAAATGTCCTCGGGTGAGGATAAAAAAAAAATTCTTCATATGTATCATTGGTGCCAAGTCACGTGTTTCCATGACGAGAGACATTCCACGTGGAGACGACCCTGCAGCCCAGTGCACGCTGATGAAGGCACTGGCTTCCAGACACTGGCGTCGCTCATCCTCATTAGGGAATGATCCATTTGCTGAGAAAGAATCCACCGCTTTAGTCCAACTGCTGTGCTGGTGAAGCCCATGCTGGGGCCCGAGTCGTGTCAGCCAGTCCGTCACCTCCCAGTGGGGACCCCCGCGCTGGGCGCCCTCCTGGGTCGCTCAGCTCGAGGGGTGTTGAGGACATTAGCAGAAGTTAGTGGTCCTACAGGTGCGGGGCCTCGAGGTTCAGGCAAGGATTTGGGTCCACACAAAAGCCTCAGGGAAGCTCAGGGCCAGCAGGCTCCTGCCAGACAGTTTCTTTCCCTCCTCCTCACCTCCAGGATGTCACTCCCAGTCCAGGGGTGGGTGCAGTGCATCGGCCCTCCCCCTTCGCAGTGAGGCAGGAGTGCGTGTGCTGGCCGTCGCCTCGCCGACCTCACACCACCACGAGCCTCCTGCTCCAGCAGCCACTGTCTCCCTGACTGCAGAGCAGAAGCCTGGTTGGAAAGTACTCTGTGTGGCGACAGGCTGGCTGTCATCAAACAGGCACGCCCACTTGGTACAGGGTGAAGAACAACTGTTTTGGGGAATAGCTCACATGGGCTATTAAGTTCTGACTGTGCTAGACACATTACAAGCTTTACCTGTTTTCTCTTAGCATCCCCATTTTACAGATGAGCAAACTGAACAAATATTGAGGCCTGATGTGCCTGATTTTAGAATGAACCATGGAGGGGCTGCAAATGCAGAAGCCTCCCGGGGCCAGGCCAGCAGCACGCGATGGGGAGTGGGCTGGCTGGGCCCAGGGGCCGGGCACACACGGAGGCACCTGCCCAGCACCACAGATGGTGCAGCCCCAGAGTACAGGTCCTGTGATGTCAGGTGCCTGATTGGTGTTCTGAGAAAAGCTGAAACTTTAGACATTTTACTTGAAGTCTTTTGATTTTTAAAAGTTGATAATTATTCCAAGATCCAAAACAAAACCCAAACCACAACAAACAAGCAGACTGTGCCAGTATGTGTGCTCCCTGGTGGTCCGCCTGCAACTCCTGGAGCTGTGGCCGGATGCAAGGGCTGTGGAAGCAGACAGCTCTGGGCTAGAACCCTGCTCCACCACCTGGCAGCCTCGTGGCCGCGGACAAGTCTTCCAGCTCCTAGACCATGATTTCCTCATCTGCACAGTGGGAATAGACCTTGCCTTGGACCCTTAGACGGAAAAGGGAACGCAGTCCAAGCGGAAGACACTACTCTCAGAGAGGGAAGGCATTTTCTCCGCTTGTTCGCTCGTGTCCCCACTGCCGAGGACAGTGCCAGCACAGTGAGCATCAACAGATACTTGTTAAGTGAAGGAATGTGGGAGGAATCACCATGGTGCTGGCGAGTAGTAGCTATTATTATCACCTTGTCAGAACATAGCCAGTCACCTGCTGGATTATGGTTCTCAGTGCCCAGAGGGCACTGTTTTTTATGGACCCATCAACCTGCTGCCTGTGTTACACATTCACAGTGTGACTCTGAGGCCACAGATCGGATCCGAGGGAACCTACGAGAGGTCAGGTCTCAGGACGCATTGGAGAGGAACCAGTCGGGGAGCCTGGTCCTTTTAAAGAAAGTGCCCCATTATTTATGTATCCTAGAAGCCAGACACGCTGCTTCTTGTTCAAGCTCTTATTAGGAGAATGGTCAAAACAAGTTTCTAATGGCTAATCTGGAACACAGAAACACTTCAGCCAGGTCCCATGCCTTGGATTCTAAACCCTTGAACTGGCTGTGCAGCTCTGGAGGGCAACTTCACCCCGTGGTGACCTTCCGTGCTGCTGGCTTGCAGATGGCGTCCCATTGTCCCTACATCCGAGGTGTCTGTGGAGCTCAGACGGACCTGTGCGGCTGAAGTGCTTTGAGAGATACACACCAGCACAGGAGTGTAAGTCAGGTTTTCTTCTAACAGCTAAAAAAGTAGAAGCCTGTCCCAGGACCTTCAAATGGAGAACTCTAGGTTCAACACTCAGTCATTGGGTTAGTGTTCATCCCACCCAAATGACATGCCAAGCATTTGAGCAAAAGTGTGATGGAGGAGAGACAGCACTCCAGGCAAGGGCCCTGCGCTGGGGGTGCGCCTTGTGTTTTTTAAAGACCGTCGAGGAGGCCAGTGCGGCCAGAGCAGCCTGAGTGAGGGGAAAGTCAGAGAGACGAGGTAGACCACAGGTTCTTACAGGCCTTGACTCTGAGTGAGATGAAGAACATCTGAAAAACACTCATCCTTCCTGGAGACAGCCAGGTGTCAGGAAGACTTGCTCGTCACCTGCTAGGTGGGTGCTGCTGGCAAGCCGCCTCCCCTTGTCAAGCCTCAGTTTTCTCATCTGTGGGACGGCCTGACCACACACGCCCTGCAGAACCGTGTCGGCTCCGTGGGAACACTGGCTCCCCGCCCCCGCCCCTCATACCTTGATGCCCTGAGCCACAGCAGCGGAAGCGTTGGCCTCTTTTTCATCCGCCTGCACCAGAAGTTTCTTGGCATCGGCTTCTATCGTCTCCTTTTCGATCTTCACCATCATCTTGGCCGTCTCCTCGGACGTCTGGATGAGCTGGGGTTGGAGGGCGGTCAGTTTGATTTGCATGACCGCCACCTAGTGAGGAGACAGGGAGCCACGTTGGTGCTGAAAATGTTGAAGCAACAGGATTCGAAAACATTCCCCAACCTATGTGTATACAGAAAGTTGATTTTAACATGGGATCTGTGTGCTGGCTGGAGTGTGCCTCTTTGATCTTTCGATACTTAGTAACTGAGTTCACTCTGTGTTGTAGTTAATGAGCACTATCTCGACACTAGACACAATGGTAAACTTAAACTTTTTGAAGATAGAACCTTTTAAAAAATGGCATTTCTCCTTGTTGAGCCTACATTCTAGTATTGGCGGCAGGGAGAGTCAGAACAAAAGCAAGTTAGGAAAAAAAACCCCACATTTTGGCCCAGGCAGTGTGGCTCAGTGGAGTGAGCGATGTCCCATGGACTGAGAGGTCCCTGTTTGATTCCCTGTTAGGGCACATGCCCGGGTTGTGGGCTCAGTCTCCAGTAGGGGGTGTGCAGGAGGCAGCTGATGGATGTTTCTCTCTCACACTGATGTTTCTCTCTCCCTTCCTCTTTCTCTAAAAAGTTAATAAAAACATTTATTTATTAAAAACATTTTTTCTTTATTGATTTGAGAGAGAGAAGAAAGGAGAGGGAAAGAGAGAGAGAAACATCAATGAGAGAGAACATTGATTGGCTGCCCCCTGCATGCTCCCTACTGGGGATCAGGCCCACAACCTGGGCATGTGCCCTGACTAGGAATTGAACCAACGATCTCTTGGTGCATGGGTCGACACTCAACCACTGAGCCATACCAGCTGGGCAATAAAAACATATTTTTTAAAATCTACATTTAAAAAAAATTATTGATTTGAGAGAGAAAGAGAGAGAGAGAGAAACATCAATTAGTTGTTCATGCATTCATTGGTTGTGTCATGTATATGTTGAGATCTGGGATAGAACCCATAACCTTGGCTTATCGAGATGATGCTCTAATCAATGAACTATCCGGCCAGGAAAACCTATGTTGTTCTTAAGTCTGTGAAGGAATGTGGCTGAGATGCTGGGACAGAAGGAACTTTCAAGGCCACCTTTTCCAACAGTGATGTTCTCTAAAACATTTCTGTCAGCTGACCTTTGGGCCGCTGTTTGAATGCCTGTAATGACAGGAAACTCACCACCTCTGAGGGAAGATGTGCCACTTTTCAGACAAGTAATTGTGTTAGATTTTTCTGATGAGGAGCCGGAATTTACCCCCGTGCAGTTTCAGCCACTGGTCCTGATTCTGCTTCCTAAGGCAGCTCAGACCCTTACTTGACGAGGGTCTCAGGACCCTAAGCCACTGCCCAGCAGGCCCCGCTGAGCGAAGCACAGTGTACTGGCCTGGTCACCACACAGGCTCTGGATAGTGCTGACGTTCAGGTCTGGCCAGACCTCCTGAGACACCTGCTCACCAGGCTGCATGGCCTCGGGCCAGCCACCTGCCTCTCTGTGCCTGGGCTTCTCCGAGGGGAGCTTCCCTATACACAGCACTGGGCACGTGGTAGGACACCTACACCTCTCTCTCTGAAAGCAAAGGACCCCAAGCGGGCCCCAGCACTCCCAGGGACAGAGCACTGAAGGGCCCCGGGGTTCCCGCGCACCCCGTGCTGTCCAGTCCGTGCATTTGCTGTGCTCAGCGACGGGTCGACCTACTGGAAACCGCTTAGTTGTGTCAGATTGTTACTGGTGCTGCAGTCCTGCCCGATGCGGCTCCCCCTTTAGATGGCTTGTCCAGTGGCTTCAAGTGCAAAGAAATTATAATCCATTGCCGGGCATTTTGTGCTGTTAGCTCTCTAACCTCCATAGCAGCTCTACAAAGCAAAGCCTGGTGTCACCTCCCTAACACAGGAAACGGAGGCCCAGGAGCTCAGGCTCTGTAGCTGGTAAGTTGTAGAGTTGGAATTTGAGCTCAGACTGTCTGCTTCCACAAATCCCACTCCTGACCACTGCCGTATCCTGCCTAGTTTCCCCCGACAGCGTCCAGGGCCAGGGCAGGCTGGAGGCAGGCGAGGCACCCACCTTGGGCTCAACGTTTAAGGGGGCACCAAAAAAAAAGCTAGTACTCAAGACAAATATCATTTTATTGCAATATTTTAAGTCAAAGTTAATGCCCCCAAAATCCATATGAACAAAATACCAAACTCTTTTATAAGGACAACCCCATATGGCTGGGGTTGGGCCGAGGCCAGTGAGCCGAGAGCTGCAAAGCAGGTCACCCGCTGTCCTTGTTTGGTGGCCCGTCGAGCACAGCGCCTGAACTGGCAGCTCGCTGTGCCTGCCTGGCCCGGGCCCTCCTTGTCCTGGTCTGCTTGGGGCTCTCACCTGGGATGCTGCAAAGTTGAGTTTCTGCAGGCCGGTCAGGTAGCGGTTCCTCATCATGTCAACCTCTTGCCTCTTGCTGTTCAAGAGTGTCTTGAAGGTCAGGATCAGTTCGAGGTAGGAGGTGGGGGTGACGTAGTTGTGTCTGCGAAGTGTGCTGTAGTAATCGAGCGACAGCTCCTTCACGCTCTCCTGGAAATATTTGCACATGGAGATGACCCTGCCGAGAGCATGAAGGTGGTTAGGCCACACGGAGCACAGCTTTGGTGCAGCGCGAGGATGTGAGCAGGCCCACTGAGGGGTCCCGGAGCCCCAGACTCAAACAGGCCAGCAGAGCCACAAGGACTGGGGGTGGATGTCCTTACTAGAATGATCTCTGACCAGGTCATGTCTAGGTCCACTCACTGCTGAGTCACCAGTGCTTGGGCAGAGTCCTTACCCTGGGGTCGTCTGGTGAAGCCTCTGGACTTTGCAGAATAATATTTTTAAATAAAGAAAGTAAAGTAGGATCACACAGGAAAACAATTATGTTGAAATAGAGTTTCCAAAATATTTAAAAACCGCATTTGTATTACAGTCATACATGTGACTTTCATCAGTGCATTAAGTCAGGGTCAGCAAACTTTCTCTGGGAAAAGCCGGAGAGCCAGTGTTTTCGGTTTTGGGGGCCACGCAGCCTGTGTAGCAGCCGCTCAGCTCCGCCGCTGTGGTGTGGAAAAGGGGGCGCTTCCCGTGGACACGGCTTGGCCCGTGAGCCCAGCTGCACTGAACACAATCGGACAGCAGGTCTGCTCCCATGGTTTTGAAGGAAATATCTGTAATGACTAAATGAATTACGGAAAACAAACAAACCCACGTGACTTCTATTGGTAGCAAAGGCACAGGTCCTGCTAATCCTCCTGGGTTGGTGCCTACGTTCATCATGGAAGAAAACGCAGATGCCAGCTGGGTCTGAGGATGAAGATGTAGTCCCCGTCCATACTCCTGACCCTCTGGGTGCTGTCCATGGACCCACAGATCCGGGTTAAGGGTTTTCCGGACTAAAGAACCAAGTTCAAAGTTCTTAAGACAGAACTTGAAGCCATGAACACTGTGAACCCTGCTCCTTCTTCATGTGCGTCCAGACCCGGCATCGCTGGGCACTGAGGTGTGGAGGCTGACGGGGCCGGTGGCACCGCCCTGCCGTCATGGCACCTTGGCGGTCGACACTCTCATCTCTTCCCTCACTCTAGCTTTTTATTTTCGTTCTGTGTGTTTGTTCTGCACACCCATCCCCTTGCAGTGGTGGTGACACGGCCCTGCTGGGCGGCCGCGCTGAGGTTCCCGGAGTGACCGCATTATCACACTCTCGCTCTTACAGCTGGGACAGCAGTGCAGCTCCAAGACAATCCTGAACAATGCCCTCTTACTCTTTTTCAGAAAAAGTGTTTTATTTATTAAATATCTAACCAAATGTGATTTAAAAATAGAAGATTTTTTTATATCTAAATTGAGACATCTTAAAACAATAATAAGAATAGAACCAATATCTGGATTTTCAATTTGGAATATATGGCTGGGGCAGTAGCATGAAGCTGGCACTTACTCTGTCCGAATATTGTCATCAAGTTCCACATCTTCGAGAAATTTGTTAGCCACCAACTCCAGGGCATCTGTGGGCCAGGACTGGAACCAATCAATCGTACAGCAATTGATGAGTGAGGGGAACATCCTTAGGCGGTTCCGAAAGGCATCCCCAATGGGGCTCATGGCTAATGAGAAACAGACCTTGTTAGTTCCTTTCCTCCAAGGGGCCTGAGGCAGCAGGCAGGCCTTACCAAGGCTTCTGGTGGGGCAGGATGGCTGTTTCATGTTGGTACCCCAGCTCTGTAACTGGGAATAGTCATGATGAATGCCTGGGAAGTGGGGGACTTCTGGGATATTTTCATGAAGTTCTGTGATGGGAATTCGGTGACTGGTCTCCCACACCCATCAATGTCCCTTCCAGATCCCAGAGTCCCTTTTGCAGAGTGGTGGAGCCCTCTGATCCACTGGCCACGGATGCCTCACGTACACCTGCTTACAGAAGTATGGGGCATCCGCTTGTGTCCCACCCTGTCAGGCCACAGATTGTGGTGTCTATACCCAAATGTCATTCCTCTTTTGTTTAGACCCAAGGGGTACAGCAAGTGTGATGCACAGGTAGATGTGTGAGAAGGTCAGTGTGGCTAAAGGAGAGAGAGAAGGGGAAGTGGTTTGAGATGAGAGTAGAGAGGATGCGAGGACAGCCTGGCAGATGACTTTATAAAACTACAGTTGAGGAATTTGGGTTTTTATCCTATCAGAAAGCAACTGAAGTGTTTTAATGTGTGTGTGTGTGTGTCTGTGTGTGTGTATGTGTGTGTGTACAAAGATCCTATTTGCAATACATGAGGAAAACACCCACTCTGGCCCAGTGGAACAGAAAGGTGTGGCATGGACAAGAGTGGACAGAGGAAATAGAAGGTCGCAGAGGTAAGGTCGGGGAGAGAGAGCAGTGGCTTGCCAATGTGAGGGTGGTGGAGACGCAGAGAGTGGGTGACTATGACAGAGCATGGAGATAGCGATGGATAGGACATGGTGAAAGAGAGAAAGAGAGAGAGAGAGAGAGAGAGTTGACACAGCACTTAGGTTTTGGACAGACCGGAACTGGCGTTCACAGGGAGAAGACGTCCAGATGTTGTATGTGAGGCCACCAGAGTAATGTACTAAAGGGAAGGACGGGGTTCAGAGGAGAGCTCAGAGAACCGAGGGGAGTGCAATAGGTTTGAAATAGTTGTTCAATAATGTGAGACTTCCGGTCAAGATGGCGGGTAGGTAAATGCAGTTTTGCGTCCTCCCACAACGACATCAAAGTTACAACTAAACTACAGAACAACCATCATTCAAAACCGCCTGAAATCAAGCTGAATGGCAGTCCTACGACTATGGAATTAAAGCAGCAGCCGCATCGAGACTGGTAGGAGGGGCGGAGGGGACGGGCTGGTCCCACACCCACGTGTGGCGGATAAAAATCAGGAGGACACCTCGGCTGGCAAGGTCCTCCCTGAGGACTGAGGGGTCCCCGTCCCACACCAGGTGCCCCGCTCAGGGTTCCAGTGCCAGGAAGAGAATCCCCATCACTTCTGGCTGGAAAAACCAGCGGGAACTGAGGCTCAGGGAGGCTGAGGCGGCTGGAGCCCCAGGCAGCTCCTTAAAGGGCCCGGCACGGACTTATCGGACTCTCTCCCTCTAAGCTCGGAGGGGAGGCAGCTCAAGGGGCGCCAGAGACACACAGGGAAGAACTGAGCAGTTTGGCACTGGAGCGAGGGCTGGAGAGGGGGCTTTCTCCAGGACAAACGTGCTGTAAGAGGCCTTTGTTCCTTTGGTGAGCCCTTCCCTGGGGTGGCAGACAGAAGCCATATCTGGACTCCAGCAACCTGGCTCACACTGGTAGCCCCGCCCTGGTGACTCCCTGAGGCCCCGCCCCACCCAACTTTCAGGCCCACCCAAGCTGTTGCCAGTTGCTTAACCTTAGGATTGGCCTGTCTTGGATTCTGCTTCAGGTTTTTCCTAAATTCTTTCAAACAAGCAGCAGCTGGTCTCAGCGAGCCCCATACCTCTCATTAAGTAATACACTGAAACAAACACAGGGAGGCAGCCAAAATGAGGAGACAAGAAACAGGTCCCAAATGAAAGAACAGAACAAAACCCCAAGAAAAGAACTAAGCAAAATGGAGATAAGCAACCTAACAGATGCTGAGTTCAAAATACTGCTTATAAGGATGCTCAGTGAACTTAGTGAGAACCTCAGTGAACTTAGTGAGGGCCTCAAGAGCATAAAAAAGGACCAGTCAGAAATGATGGATGCACAGTCAGAAATGAAGGAGGAACTAAGTGAAATAAAGAATAATTTACACAGATTCAATAGTAGAGTACGTAAATCCAAGAAGCAAACCATCGATTTGGAATATAAGGAAGCAAAAAACGCCCAATCAGAACAGCAAAAAGAAGAAAGAATCCAAAAAAATGAGGTTAGTGTAAGGAACCTCTGGGACAACTTCAACCGTGCCAACATTCTCATCTTGGGGGTGCCAGAAGGGGAAGAGAGAGAACAAGAAATTGAAAACCTGTTTAAAACAATAATGGCAGAAAACTTCCCTAACTTGGTGAAGGAAACAGACATATAAGTCCAGAAAGCACAGAGAGTCCCAAACAAGATGAACCCCAAGAGGCCCACACCAAGACACATCATCATCAAAATGCAAAAGGTTCAAGACAAAGAGAGAATCTTAAAAGCAGCAAGAGAAAGACAGCTAGTTATCTACAAGGGAGTTCCCATTAGGCTGTCAGCTGATTTCTCAAAAGAAACTTTGCAGGCCAGAAGGGAGTGGCAAGAAATATTCAGAGTGATGAAAAGCAAGAACCTACAACCAAGATTACTCTATCCTGCAAAGCTGTCATTTAGAATCGATGGCCATATAAAGACTTTCCCAGACAAGAAAAAGTTAAAGGAGTTCATCACCACCAAACCGTTATTATAGGAAATGATGAAGGGTCTTTTTGAAGAAAAATAGAAAATATATGAACAAACAAAATGGCAATGAATACATATCTATCGACAATGGAATCTACAAACAAAATGAACAGGCAGAACAGAAACATTCTCATAGATACAGAGAACGTTTTGTTGGTTGCCAGATGGGAGGGGGGTTGGGGGAATGGGTGAAAAAGGTGAAGGGATTAAGTACAAGTTCATTGCTAGACTGACAAACCTCAAAGGGAAAGGGGTTGGGGTGGGAAGAAATAAACCAAAGAACTTATATGCATAACCAGTGGACACAGACAATAGTATGGGAAAACGCGGAGTGGGGCGGGGGGGAGTGGGGAGGAGGGGGTCAATGGGGGAAAAATGAGGAACATCTGTAAGACATTCTACATTCAACAATAAAGATTAAAAATAATAATAATAATAATAAAAATAATAATAAAATAGTTGTTCAGAAGAGTGGAAATTTCCACAGAAATTCCAGGCACTGGTCCCCAGACAAGTACCTTGGCTGGGTCAGTCTTTACACCATTGTGAGAGGACTGGGCTTGGGGCGACCAGGAGACCCCAAAACAGCCAGGGGAAAAGGGAAAACCGGGATTCTTCTTACCAAGCACAATGTGCAGGTTCTTTTTCACCCTCTCAATGAAGAAGTTGTACATAGAGAGAGGAGTGACTTCAACCTTCTCGCCCGCTGCCCTGGCTGCTGCCTGCATCTTCTCCACGATGTCAGCCTTCTCGTCCGCAGGGAAGATGCTGGGCACGTCTCCTGTGTTCAGCAGCATGTTGATGTCCTCAATGAATGACTCATCCTTGATCTGGTTATCAGCAAAGAGGAACACCGTGCTCTTGGTGGCCACACCGACCTGCAGCATGATCTTCTTCAGATCCTCCCGCCAGTCACTGTTGGAGTAGTTCTTAGTGATCTCGATCTGGTACAGCTCACAGGAGTTCATGAACGTGGACAGTTTGCTGGCACTCTGCCGCCCACTGCCCCCAATGCCCACCAGGAGCAGGTGGCCTTTGTCCTGCTTCAGGACCCTGCAGATCCTGGAGATGTGCTCAATGGCGAACCTGAACATGACCAAGGACATGGGGGCCTTGCTGATGTTGTTGAACTCTTCCAGGTAGTACTCCATGACCACGGTGAGCTGTTTCAGGTCAGTGATCTCATCATAAATTTTTGGGTAACTTTCTGGTTTGAAGTAATCTCCAAAAAAGAGGCTATGGATATTATCATCGGTGATCTTTCCAGTGGGTGATAGATGGATGAGGACCTGTGGGAAAGGTAAGCCTCAGCCAGGCATTCAGCCAGTGGCCCAAGCAGGAGGGCAGGGGGTTGGGGGCAATGTAGAGGAAGGGAACAGGTGGTGAGCTTGTTTCCTTCGAGAACATTATTCAAAGTCATCATTTAATTAATTAATTAAATTTTAACCTGAGGATATTTTCCCATTTATTTGCAGACACAGTAGGAGGGAGGGAGGGAGGAAGGGAGGGAGGGAGAGAGAGAGAGAGAGAGGGAGAGAGAGAGATATTGATGTAAGAGAGACACATCAATTGGTTGCCTCTTACACAATCCTGACCAGAGCTGGGGATCGAACCACAACTGAGGTACGTGCCCTTGACCAGAATCGAACCCATGACTCTTTGGTCCATGGGCTAACATTCTAACTGCTGAGCCAAACCGGCTAGGGCAGAACAAGATGATTCTTAAAACAACTTTTCTTATATGAAATGGGAAATAGAAAATATTTATTAATGGGAAACCATGACACTCTTTTAATTGGTTTTACCAGGGCCTCAATCAAACCATAAAAATTCATGGTTTATTTCTCAACTCACAAATTTATTTGACCCGGAAAATGCACAAACAATAACATTGTAAGTCAATCTCTTTGGTGGTTCAAACCCTATGCATTCCCAGGAAAGGGGAGCACAGTCGGGCCTTGTGGTATCTCAACCGATCCAGTGACTGCCCAACACTGGTACCTGAGACCCAGAGAGCAGAGCAGAGTCTCCCCTGGGAAGGGAACCTGAGCTCCTAGACTAACCAGGTCAAGCACTGGGGACCACTTTTGAGGCCAGAGGACCCAAGGGTTTGGCTGACCTTCTCCATGGTGTTCTTGAAGCAGTTAGAGGTGGTTTCCTTCACCATGTTGAAGAAGACCTGTCTGTCATCATCATCAATCAGACGGTCATAGAAGACCCGATAAATCTCATGGATCCAAAGCCGGATAAGTTTCTCTATGTCCTGAAAAATCCAGAGTTGATTATTTGAATGAGCGGAAGAGTGTGCTTGAAGCGGCAATTCTCAAGTAGCTTCTAAATCCCATGGTTGATGTGAGGATGAAACAAGATGATGCTTATGAAACGTTAAGCACGCGCCCGGCTGGGGTGGCTCAGTGGTTGAGCATCAACCTTGCACCAGGAGGTCGTCGGTTTGATTCCCAGTCAGGGCACATGCCCAGGTTGTGGGCTTGATTCCCAGTGTAGGGCATGCAGGAGGCGGCCAGTCGATGTTCTCTCTCATCGATGTTTCTATCTCCCTGTCCCTCTCCCTCCCTCTCTCTTTAAAATCAGTAAAGAAAAAATTTAAAAGATAAATAAAACGTTAAGCACATGCCCAGCACAGAACCAGTGCTCTAACAGTCAGCTATGACTCTCAGGAGATAGAAATGACAGTGGCTGACCTGCAGGTGGGTGTGAGGACAGAGCAGCACCCCTTGGATCACCCGTGAGAAGTCCCGCAGGTTAAACACATAATGTGACTTGGAGGGAGTTGGCAAGAAATTCTCCACTGCAGCTTTGTAAATGGTCATGGTGGCCTGTATCAGCATCTTGCCATACCTTGGGAGGAAGGAGAGTGTAGACCAGTCAAGGAGGGGCCAGCACTGAGGACCCAGGCCAACACCCCGGAAGACACAGGAACCTCTTACCTTAAGAAAATCACGTCGAACCCTTTCCCAAAATGCCAGTCAACAATTGAACTAAAAATCTTGGTTAAAACGTCGTCCTCAAAGGAGTTGATGGAAATGACGTTCAGGTGGCGGGTGAACCGCCCTGGAAAACATGCACACATGCTCTTACCACGGGGCCAGGGTTCTGTGACCCGGGATTGGTTCTCTCTCCGGCTTCAAGTTCCTGAGCTGTGCTGTCCACCATGGCGGGCAGCCTCTAGCCATATGTGGCTCCGTAAACTTAAGTTAATGAATAATGAATAACATTACAACTGATTTTCTCAGTCCCACTAGTCACATTTCAGGGCTCAAGAGTAAATGTGGCGAGTGGCTGCCGTGCTGCACGGGGGCTCTGGGGGCAGTGCCAGTGCAGGGCTCAAGCGTGTCTGTAAAGAATAGAGGCACTGTGTGCCCACAGATGGACCATCAGGAACGCTTTTGCAGAGAGTGGGCATCGCCTCTCACGACCGCCCACGTCCCAAACCCACTCTTCCTTTCACATTAACTGCTGTTCATTTGGTGTCTTCACACATCCACATCTATCTGATGTTAGATACCTATATATTTATATCTATATCTATATGTCAGTTTTATTGAGATATAGTCTATAGTTTTTTGATCATCTGAAACCCGTTTTCTAGTAGAGAAAGGGCTTATGGAAACAAGTCTCTGAGTTCTTGCGTGTTGATAACAGTTTTGCTTTTATCCTTAAAGGTCCTTTGCTGGCTATAAAAGTCTTGACTCTCATTTTGTTCCCTTAAACGTCATTCTGTTGCCTTATGGCATAAGGCATTGCAGTTGAAAAGTCTTAAAATAATCTAATTTTCTCTTATAAATCATGTGCTCTTTTTGTCTAAATGGCCCAAAGACTTTTTCTTTTTGTTTAATGTCCAGTCATTTTACTAGTGTATGTCATGGTAGTGATCACTTTGAGTCTGTATTCTTAGGTACACAGTTACCAAATGCGGTCATCCTGCCCATTTTCCTCTTTTCCAGATGAGAAGGTCACAGAATGTTAAGTCTGGAAATGGTACTAATATTCTTATGCAAGAATGTATTTCAGAATAAAAATACAGATCCTGGGTAGATCAAGTTGTATCCTAAGCAAACATATTCATGAATCAGCAGATGATGAATTGATGTGGGAGGGGGATCTTATTTACTTGTTTATCATTATTATTTATTATTACTTTGCTTAGGCCACTTTGGGTTAACTGTTCTCTCTTTGGCAATATGAAGAATTACAACAAACACAACTGGTGAACTGTCATGCACCCCGGCTGAGAACGCCTGACCCAGCCTCCCTCCTAGAATACAGGCCGCCTGATCTCTCCTCTTCATCTGAGACTCTGTTACTCTTCTCATCCCACTCACAGCTTCCAAGATGGCCTCCTGATGCCACTCCTTGGGGCTGGCCCAAACTGCTATGGCTCCTGCCTCAACACACTTCTCTCTACCCTCCATCAGACAGTGCCCGAGGTGGTCTGGCTCTGCCAGGGGGTGGGGAGGAATAAACTTCTCTTCCACCTACCAGTGATGTCATTCCTTCCTCCCCCGGGGGGTCCCATGGCCGTCACAAGCAGCACATCCACGATGTCCAGCCTGGTTGTGTCTTTCTTGTCAAACCAGTAACCGTGGTCAATCCATTGCCTCAGGAGCTCAATGGGGGGCTGGGCCCCATAAGCCTCTTTGGCCGGCATGTTGAGGTCATCTGGGGAAGAAGCCAGGGCCACACATTGTGAGTTTATGGAGGCAACAGATGCCTCTTTCCTCCTTGGGAGAATCACACCCACCCCCACTCTGGACAGAGCTCAGCCAGTGGACATTCTGACCCTATAGGAAGAGGTTTTCCTGGGCTCTGCCTATTGTGACTTTAAGGGTGCATAGGTTGGCATCAACAGGCATTTAATTTTTCCCATTCCCTCAAACAAAATATATTGATCATCTACTGTGTGCTACATATTTTGTTAATTTGGGGGGATGTGATTTCTGGGGATAGTAAGGAAGACAATCACACTCCCAGCTAAGAGGGTATTTAATTTGACCAGCAGGGAATAATCAAAGTCCAATGTTGTGGAGCAAGGTTTTGGACCAGGGCTTTTGTGGAGCAAAACCAAAGAGGGTAGGCTGTGTTCTCGAGTGCAGGGACTGACTTCCCCAGGAGCGTATCACCCTGTCTCTGCACGTGGAAGGCACTCGGTCAGATGCAAGCTCTTTTGTTGCTGTTAATCCTCATTCGAGGATATTTTTCCATTAATTTTTAGGTAGAGTGGAAGGGAAGGAGGAGAAGAGAGAGAGACAGAGAGAAACATCGATGTGAGAGGGACACATTGATTTGTTGCCTCCTGACTGGGACCAGGGATAGAACCTGCAACCCAGGTACTTGTGCTTGACATGGAATTGAACCGATGACCCTTCGGTCTGTGGGCCAATGCTCCAGCTCTTGAGCCAAACCAGCCAGGGCTGGGAGCTCTTTCAATTTCTCTCCAATGAAATAATGGCTGATGCCATTTATGTCAGGTAACATTTTAGGAGTTTTACACCTACTATCTCATTGAATCTAATGGCTTTGTAAGGAAGACAGTATCACCTTTATGTTGGACGTAAGGAACAGAGGGACATGGGAGTTAAGTCACAATATGCATAGGGTTAAAAAGGGGGATTTGAATCTAGATCGGTTTGGCTGCAAAGCTTAAACTTTTTTTTTTTTTTTAAATTTTCTTTTTAATAGAATTTATTGAGGTAACACTTGTTAATAACATTATATAGATTTCAGGTGTACAGTTCTAGATTACAACATCTGTATATTGTATTGTGTGTTCACCACTCAAACTGTTTTGGGATATACCATAACAATAGGAAGGGAGAACAGGTTGGAAGAAAGAAGAAAGGAAGAGAAATAAAAATAAAATAAAATAGGATCCCTGCCTTTAGAGAGCTGATATTAGCTGGCAAGGAAATAGATATGTGCAATATTCATTATCAATATGTGAATTTCGTTTTGTTTTTTATTTAGAGAGAAAGGGAGAAGGAGAGAGAGAGAGCGAGAGAAACATCAATTTGTTGTTTCACTTATTTATACATTCATTGGTTGCTTCTTGTACATGCCCTGACCAGAGATCAAATCTGCAAACTTGGCATGTTGGTACGAAGTCCTAAGCAGCGGAGCTACCTGGCCAGGGCAATGCATGCATTATAAAGACAATGAAACAACTCAGAAGAGTGGGGAATTACCATAACTAAATGGGAACTCTAGTGGAAAATGTTTTTGTCACCAAGAATCCTGGGTTTGGGTCACAGCTCCAGAATTTTCTAGATATTTGACTCTGAACAGGGAATTTAAGCTTCTGGAGCCTCAGTGATTGGACCAGCAAAGTGGTAATGAAGGTTGGCAACCTCACAGGGCCACGAAGCTCACCTGAGGTGAGTGAGGAAGTGCTTGGTAAAATGCGGGGAAACATCAATGTGCTGACTTTGCAAATATTTATTTAGCAACTTTTGGGTTTCTTCATTTACTGACAACATATTTATCTGACACAAAGTGGAATAAGGGTCTCATCACAAGTGTGTTGCTTTTGGAGATGCAGGAGGGCCAACACTGCTCTGCCCTCTGGGACTGCATCTCACCCAGGGTCACCTGGCCTGACCTGAGGGCTCAGCTTGACCTGGGAGAAACTGGGAGCCTGGCTCAACAAGGAGGCCTGACCCTGTCTCACTTACTGCAAGCTGGCATGTGGCACATGGCCAACAGGTACTTGGTAATGGGAGAAGGCGACACAAGAAAAGGCAAAATTAGAGAAGGAAGAAAGGGGAGGAAGGAGAAAGAGAGGGAGGAGGAAAAGAGGAGAGGAAAGAAGGAATACTGAATTATATTAACCAGAAACCGTAGAGTGGCCCTACAAAGAGAGGTCCCGCCTTACTGCAGGTTGGAGTGGAAGGACCTGGTTGTGTTCACATCCAGGCCAATGCCTTACCCACAAACACCACCGCCTTCTTCCCTATGGGAGGCCCAAAGAGGCCCTTCCGCCGTCGATCCAACTTGGACATGATGATATCTTGGGTCTGACTGGCTGAGGTCCTGGCAGAAAAATTGATGCAGGTGGGCAGGTAGGCATTTTTGGGAAGGTGGAGGAGGAAGTTATTGGTGATGGCTGATTTGCCGGTGCCTGTGGGACCCACGAATAGCACCGGAATCTCATGGTCCAGATAGGTTTTCAAGAAGAAGGACTGCCGGGCTGTCTCCATGGTGGGGATGATGAGTTCTGAGACCTGGACCACAAAGACATGGAAGAGCCTCGGTACTGGGCCCAGGAGGCTGGGCCAAGGCATTCGGAAGACTCAGTTCCATCCTTACTATCCACTCAGTTCCGCCCCTTTACTTTTGTACCTTGAACACATATTTAATAGCTCCAGGGGCCTCAGGTTATTAATCTGTGAAATGGGGTAATAATGGCACCTAGTTCATTAAGTTGGTTTAAGATTAAACGCGATCATGCATGTAAAGATGGGTGTTACTGTCCCTTGTTTTGTGGACGAGGAAACTGAGGCCCGGAGCTCTTCTGCAGCTTGCCCAAGTTACAGCAAGTAAGTGAATATGCACGGATTTAAATCCCAGATTGATTCCAACGTCTATATTCTTAACCCCTAAACTGTTATGTGATCAATACGAATCACAATAAGAATGGGGCGATGGGTGCTGCCCTCCGAGACCACTGCTCTGAACCAGACTATTGCCTCTGTGCCATCTCTACTGCTCGGCTGAGAAGGGTTGGGTGTCACTCTCCACCCCTCCCTGTGCTTGTTCCTGACCACTTTCCCAACATTCAGATTCGTTGTTCTAGGACCCACCCCCTCTTAACCCTTTTTCCTGTATGGAGTTTGCAACACTCTTCCTGGCATTCAGCCTCCAGCTGGACTCTAAGGGCTTGGTCCTGGGCTCCTGGAATCCGTTACCTTGAGTAGAACACCCTACCTAGTTTGCCTCTCTCAACCCAAACCCTGTCATAAGCCATTTGGTCCCTCCAGGGGGCAGTGGAAGGGGCAAGATATATGTCCTGTTGGAGTCCTTATACGTCCAGGCTGGAAGGGGCTGGTGAACATGGGCCCCTGTGCTGCCCAGCTCCAGGAAGCACCATCCCACTGGTTTATGTGAATGGTTTGGTCTGTGCAGCATGGTAGCCCCATGTATGCAGGTAGACAAAGGCTTGGCTTCTTTGGTAAGTAATTTAATCAAAGGAGAAAGGTAACGCAGGGCCAGGGAATCTCAGTGGAGAGAAAGAGAATTAGCAGGTGCTGATCAAGGCTGCTCTGCCTGTGTTATCCACTGATCTTCCCAATAACCCTCTGGCAGGCGTGTGATTAGCTCAGTTTTTAGAGGAAAAGAACAGAGGCTGGAGGATTGCTGCTGACTTGTCCTAAGACATAGCCTGTGAGCGATGCTGAGTGCAGAGCCAGGGGCGAGACGTCTGCTACGCTGCCAAGACTGGGAATCTAAAGCGACTTGGGTTTCACAGATTTTATTGTCAGGGTCTAGAACAATTGTTTGACAAGGTCTACAGCAGAACTGAGAATATGTTCTGCATTAGACTCTTTTATTTGTATGAATTCAGCAAGATTTGAACCCCCTGGAATTCAGGTGACTAAGCTCTTTAAGGAGAATTAAAGTTTAGGATCTCAGTGCTGGGGTCTCTTCACAACACTCAGCCCCAGGGTGGGCCCTGAACTCTGCACAAGTAGCTATGGTCCTGCTTGCTGTCTGACTTGGAACTATTCCCACTTTCCAGTCCACTGTCTACCACTCCAGCCAGGGCCTGAGCGGTCTGCCATCACCCAGAAGGATAATCACATCCAGCAGACACTACAGAGTCTCAAAGTGCACCCAGAAGGGCGTTCCACAGGACGTGAGGAGCAACTGTCGGGTCACCTGCTAACCAGAGAAACTGTTCATCAGGACCTGTTCTGCCGAGAATGCTGAGCAAGGAAAACTTTCTCTGGGGATTTAAAAAAGGCAAGTGAGCTTTGTGTGAGATGTCCGAGAGGTGGTGTGGTGCTGCCGGGTCACTGACAATGAATAGTCAGCAGTGCCCACTACTGAGCTCGCACATACTATGGCCCCGTGTTCATACTATTGTCTCCAGTGCTTGCAACTCATCTAAGTATTTTGTTGTTGTTGTTGTTGTTTTTTGGTTGAGGAAACTGAGGGTGAATGCTGAGTAAGAAATCTGGGTCTCTCTGATTCTAAAGTCCATGCTTTTGAAGGCTCAACCCAGCTCAAGTTTGAAACATTTTCTAAAGAACGTTCTTTACAGCGCTAACACAGAGCAGATGTCGGTTCTTTTACCTTGGAGGAATCGGGTCACTCTGGAGACCAAAGCTCCACGGCCAGCCAGTCCCTCTTTACCTTTGCATTGGTTGGGATAGTTTCCTCTTCCTTGGTGATGTAGTCTGTCCATGTGTACCAATGTCCACCACCTTGCTTGAGGAAATAAAATTCATAGATGCTTCCTGGACCCAGAGAAACAGAACAGGCCATTAGCGCACCAGGGCTCGTAGTTCACGTGGGAGGTGTCGAACTGCTTCCCTGGAGGCGTCTGAATGTGTGACTCCCAGCCTGGCAGGGTCGGGGTGAAACCTACACACTGTGGGTGACTGCATAGACCAAAACACCAGCTTTTAAAGAGTAATGACTTTATTATTTGTATACAAATAATAGGTGCTATGAATACAAAGAATTAAATTACTTTTAACAATGTAAACAGAAGTATTGAAAAGAACAAAAATGAAAGCAAGGTCTACAGAAACAACTTTTGATGGCACCCTGCTAGCCCTCTCTCTAGGCACAGACACACTGGGGACGGCAGGGCAGACAGATCAAGGAAGGATTGTGTAAGAATGGGACCTCTTGATATGTCCTATTTTTAAATAAAGGCATTAAATTTAATTTTACTTTAATCTAGCAGAAGAAAAGGAGTCAACATGAAACTAGAGGATGTACTGAACTTCAGATAAATCATTACTTACTACAAGAGTTCCTAAGGAGCTGCTTTTAAAACAATAACTGAGAAAATAATTTAAATTATTAGGGGTCAAAGTCACTATGCTTTAAAAAAGTCACTTAATCTAATTTTGTTGTAGTGTTTTAGCTTTTCATTGTCAAAATTTAAAAATACATGAGAGTAAGGAAGACAGTATAATAAATGGCCAGGTACCCATTATCCAGCTTTAATAGTCATCAATATTTTGTAATTTTTGTTTCATCCGTTTCCCCATCACCATAGTCACTTCTCTTCCTTCTTCCCTCCCTCCCCCTCCTTTTCCTTTCTTTGTATTTTAGAGCAAATCCTGACATTGTATTTCATTTGTAAATACACATAACTCAATGTAAGACCAATTTCATTAATTTCTTTTCTTAAATATTTTTTTTTTCCTTTTATTGATTTTAGAGAGAGAGGAATGAAGAGGGAGAGAGAGATAGAAACATCAATGAGAGAGAACATCTATTGGCCACCTCCTGACTGGGAATCAAACCAGTGAACTCTTGGTGCATGGGTCAACGCTCAACCACTGAGCAAACTGGCCAGGCTTAAAATATGTTTTTATTGATTTTTTTAGAGAGAGAGGAAGGGGGGGGGGGGGAGAGAGAGAGATCTATGTGAGAGAGAAACATCGATCAGCTGCTTCCTGCATGCCCCCACTAGGGATCAAGACCACAACCTGGGCATGTGCCTTGACCGGGAATCGAACGGGGACCTCTCAGTCCATGGGGTGACACTCAGTCCAGAGCCACACCATCCAGGCTCATTGATTTCTTGTTTTTTTTTTTTTTTTTTTTAAATCCTCACCCGAGGATATTTTTTCCATTTTTTTGTACAGATAGAGTGGGAGGGAGGGAGAGGAAGGGAGAGAGAGAGAGAAACATCGACGTGAAGGGACACATCGAGTGGCTGCCACCCGCATGACCAACCAAGGCCGGGGACAAACTGCAACCAAAGTATGTGCCCTTAGCGGGAACCGAACCCGGGTCTCTCCGGACCGCAGGCTGACGCTCTAACTGCTGAGCCAAACTGGCCAGGGCTCATTGATTTCTTAATGAACTATGTGGTGATCAACTCTCCCTCTTCCCTTCATCTCCCCTCCTCTGGTTCCTTGTGTTGTTGATGATGGTTCACCTTTCACTTTGTCATGGTTTATAACATTCACATTTTTGTTCTGCCACCACAGCTCTCCTGTTCTGTAGCCTTATGTCTATATTTAAACAGATTCATCACTCAAACTCAGGTCTTTTAACACAGACCATGTAGGAGTTCTTTATTTTGGTTCATGCATTTGCTGGCTGATGGCTTTTCCTTCCAGAAAGGGACTTACTCCCTCGTCCGCCTGGTGAGAGCGCTGGCACTGCTTCTGTATTGGAGAGTGACCTGGCGGAGAGGAGCACTCTGTCATATTGTCTTCTCCTCAGAATTGTGCAGAACATTGTTTATTGACGTATCCTTGAAATCTGAATTGCTGAGGTTCATCAGATGTTTTGCCCCTTTAATGACTTTATTTCCTATGGAGATGCCTGATGGAATGTCTTTTATCCTGGCTGTCCTATAATTTAATCAGCTTATTTCTTTTTTTTCTCAATTTTTATTAATATATTTTTGTTACAGATGTTTCTCCTTTTTTCCCTAGACACCCTCCTCCCCCTCCTACCCCCACACTCCAGCATTGTTGTCTATGTCCATTGGTTATGCACACATGCATATAAGTTCTGTGGTTTATCTCTCCCCCCTCACTCCCCTCCTCTGAGGTCTGTCAGTCTGAAACATACTCCTTTCTATGTCTCTGGGTATATTTTGTTCATTATATTCCCACAAATAAGTGAGATCATGTGATATTTGTCTTTCTCTGATTGACTTATTTCACTTAGCATAATGCTCTCCAGGTCCCTCCATGTCATCTCAAAGGATAAGAGATCTTTCTTTCTTACATCTGCATAGTATTCCATTGTGTACATGTACCACAGCTTTTTTTTTTTCTTTTCTTTTCTTTTTTTTTGTATGTGCCCCTAGCAGGAACTGAACCCGGGACTCTCTGCTCCACAGGCCAATCCTCCAACCGCTGAGCCAAACCGGCCAGGGCTGTACCACAGCTTTTTTATTCATTTGTCTACTCATGGACACTTGGGCTGTTTCCAGATCTTAGCAATTGCAGAAAGTGCTGCAATGAACATAGGGGTACATATATTCTTTCTGGTTGGTGTTTCAGGCTTCTTGGGATACATTCCTAGAAGTGGGATCACTGGATCAAATGGCAGATCAATTTTTAATTTTTTTTTTTATCCTCACCTGAAGACATTTTTCCATTTTTTGTTCATATAGAGTGGGAGGGGGAGAGAGAGAGAAACATCGACGTGAAAGGTGGCAACATTGAGTGGTTGCCACCCATCCAACCCAACCAGGACTGGGGACAAACTGCAACTGAGATATGTGCCCCTAGCGGGAACCAAACCCGGGTCTCTCTGGACCACAGACCGACGCTCTAACTGCTGAGCCAAACCGGACAGGGCTCAATTTGTCATTTTTTGAGGAAACACCATAGTGTTTTCCACAGTGGCTGCAGCAGTCTGCATTCCCACCAGCAGTGTACTAGAGTCTCCTTTTCCCCACACCCTCACCAACACTTGTTGTTTGATGATTTGTTGATGGCGGTCATTCTGGCAGTTGTGAGGTGATACCTCACTGTTGTTTTAATTTTCATCTCTCTAATGATTAGTGATATTGAGCATTTTTTCATATGTCTCTTGGCCATTTTATGTCCTTTTTGGAGAGGTGTGTATTTAGGTCCTCTCCCCATTTTTTAATTGGGTTCTTTGTCTTTTTTTGTTGTTGAGTTGTATGAGCACTCTATGTATTTTGAAAATTAACCCCTTATCTCATGTATCATTGGCAATTATGCTCTCCCATATAGTGGGTTCCCTTTCCATTTTGATGGTTGTTTCTTTTGCTGTGCAGAAGCTTTTGAGTGTGATGTAGTTCCATGTGTTCATTTTTTCCTTTGTTTCTCTTGCCTTGGGTGATGCATCAGTGAAAATTCTGCTATGTATGATGTCTGAAATTTTGTTGCCTACATTTTCTTCTAGGATTTTTTTTTTTTTTATCCTCACCCGAGGACATTTTTCCATTTAGATAGAGCAGGAGGGAGAGAGAGAGAGAGAGAAACATCAACGTGAAAGGGACACATCGAGTGGCCGCCACCCACATGACCCAGCCAGGGCTGGGGACAAACTGCAACTGAGCTACATGCCCTTAGCAGGAACCAAACGCAGGTCTCTGTGAACCGCAGGCTGACGCTCTAACCGCTGAGCCAAATCGGCCAGGGCTCTTCTAGATTCATGAGTCACATTTAAGTCTTTTATCCATTTTGAGTTTATTCTTGTGTATGATATAAGTTGGTGATATAGTTTCATTTTTTTGCATGTAGCTGTCCAATTTTCCCAACACCATTTATTGAAGAGGCTATCTTTGCTCCACTGTGTGCTCTTGCCACCTTTGTCAAATAATTGAGCATAATGTCTTGGGTCAATTTTTGGGTCCCCTGTTCTGTTCCATTGATCTATATGCCTGTTCTGGTGCCAGTATCAGGCTGTTTTGATTACGGTGGCTTTGTAGTATAACCTGATATCCGGTACTGTGATCCCTCCTACTTTTTCAACATTGCTGTGGCTATTCGGGGTCTTTTTGGTTCCATAGGAACTTTTGAAGTATTTGTTCTAGTTCTGTGAAATATATTGTTGGTATTTTGATGGGGATTGCATTGAATCTATAGATTGCTTTTGGTAGTATGGACATTTTAATTATGTTAATTCTTCCAATCCACGAACAAGGTATGTGCTTTCACTTTTTAATATCTTCCTCTATTTCTTTTTTCAGTGTCCTGTAGTTTTCTGCAAATAGGCCCTTTACTTTATTGGTTAAGTTTATTCCTAGGTATCTTAATTTTTTTGCCCACAATGGTAAACAGGATTGTTTTTTTAGTTTCTCTTTCTGTGAATTCATTATTGAACTCATCACTCTTATATATCAATGGTATATAAGAATTACAATGATTTCTTGATGTTAATTTTTTTCCCGATACCTTGCCAAATTCATTTATTAAATCTAGAAGATTTTTTTAATGGAGTCTTTAGGGTTTTCTATGTACAATATCATGGCATCTGCAAATAATGACAGTTTTACTTTTTCCTTTCTGATTTAGATCTTTTTTATTTTTTCTGCGTGTCTAATTGCTATGGCTAAGACTTCCAGTACTCTGTTAAATCAGAGTGGCAAAAGAGGGCATGCTTGTCTTGTTCCTGTTCTTAAGGGAAATGCTTTTAATTTTGCCCATTGAGTATGATGTTGGCTCTAGCATATAATTTGTAGAAACAATTCTTCATTTTAGGAAAAATCTCTGCATTTATAACTTTGTATATATTATCTTTGTGTATATTTATATATATATATACTATTTATTAGGTTACC